GAAGAAGATACAAAGACTAATGGAAGAAGCAAGTCAGTGAAGAAGATACAAAGACTAATGGAAGAAGCAAAGCAGTGAAGAAGATACAAAGATTACGTTCTGTGGAAGAAGCAAGTCAGTGAAGAAGATACAAAGATTACGTTCTGTGGAAGAAGCAAGTCGGTGAAGAAGATACAAGGACTAGTGGAAGAAGCAAGTCAGTGAAGAAGATACAAAGATTACGTTCTGTGGAAGAAGTAAAGCAATGAAGAAGATACAAAGACTACGTTCTGTGGAAGAAGGAAGTCGGTGAAGAAGATACAAAGACTAATGGAAGAAGCAAGCCAGTGAAGAAAATACAAAGATTACGTTCTGTGGCTTCGCTTAAAACTGTGGTTAAGGCCAAGCACTATAGAAGTAGCTCCAAGGGCGTAGCGGGGGGAGGGGGGTGTCGACCGATCACCCTATTAGCCTAAACGTCCACCTGATGTTTTGTTTAATAATCACCTAAATAGTATGTGAATTTCTTAAACTCTTTGTGTAGAAGAAAAGCCCTCCCCCCTTTAAAAAAAAAGAAAAGATATCCCCTGTGTAGTGCTGGTTACTCCACTGGGTAGTTCTACTATGCCCACTAAAAGATTCCAACATATGAAAAAATATTTCTTACATTAGTACATAACTCACAAGAAATATTATAACTGTATTCTTTAACATAATTGTTTTAAATATTTAAATTATATTACTGCTATAATATTTTTTTTTCTCTGTTCAAACTTATAGTATCTTTACAGGGTCACGTAAAATAATTTGTATTGTATATTGAGTAACCATAGAACGTTCATATTGACACGTCGTTCTACGTCCAATCTCAAGGACGGGTATTAACTCCCTTGCTCTTCCCTAAGGGCAGAAGCATGGCCTCGTGGTTAGTCTGACGGCACTGTAAGCCTAAAGACTCACGGTTCGTCTTTAGTTGCCGTGAAAACGCGCTCCGCATTTCAGAGCCGTGGGTGCGCTTTATGAGTGACACTGAAATCCCATTCTTTCATCATACAAGAACATATACCAAAGAGTTAGCAGTTCGTGCTATTGATTAACTGATTTCCCTCTAGCGTTAGCAGTTCGTGCTATTGATTAACTGCCTTCCCTCTAGCGTTAGCAGTTCGTGCTATTGATTAACTGCCTTCCCTTTAGCGTTAGCAGTTCGTGCTATTGATTAACTGCCTTCCCTCTAGCGTTAGCAGTTCGTACTATTTATTAACTGCCTTCTCTCTAGCGTTAGCAGTTCGTGCTATTGATTAACTGCCTTCCCTCTCGCGTTAGCAGTTCGTACTGTTTATTAACTGCCTTCTCTCTAGCGTTAGCAATTCGTGTTATTGATTAACTGCCTTCCCTCTAGCGTTAGCAGTTCGTGCTATTGACTAACTGCTTTCCCTCTATCGTTGCAGTTCGTACTATTGATTAACTGCCTTCTCTCTAGCGTTAGCAGTTCGTACTATTGACTAACTGCCTTCCCTCTAGCGTTAACAGTTCGTGCTGTTGACTAACTGCTTTCCCTCTATCGTTGCAGTTCGTACTATTGATTAACTGCGTCCCCTCTAGCGTTAGCAGTTCGTGCTATTGACTAACTGCTTTCCCTTTATCGTTCCAGTTCGTACTATTTATTAACGGCCTTCTCTCTAGCGTTAGCAGTTCGTGCTATTGACTAACTGCTTTCCCTCTATCGTTGCAATTCATACTATTGATTAACTGCCTTCTCTCTAGCGTTAGCAGTTCGTACTACTGACTAACTGCTTTCCCTCTAGCGTTAGCAGTTAATACTATTGATTAACTGCCTTCCCTCTAGCGATAGCAGTTCGTGCTATTGACTAACTGCTTTCCCTCTATCGTTGCAGTTCGTACTATTTATTAACGGCCTTCTCTCTAGCGTTAGCAGTTCGTGCTATTGACTAACTGCTTTCCCTCTAGCGTTAGCAGTTCGTACTATTATTAACTGCCTTCTCTCTAGCGTTAGTAGTTCGTACTATTGACTAACTGCTTTCCCTTTAGCGTCAGCAGTTTATACTATTGACTAACTGCCTTTCCATTAGCGATAGCAGTTCGTGCTATTGACTAACTGCCTTCCCTCTAGCGTTAGCAGTTTATACTATTGACTAACTGCTTTGCTTTAGCGATAGCAGTTCGTGCTATTGACTGACTGCCTTCTCTCTAGCGTTAGCAGTTCGTACTATTGACTTACTGCTTTCCCTCTAGCGATAGCAGTTCGTGCTATTGACTTACTGCTTTCCCTCTAGTGATAGCAGTTCGTACTATTGACTAACTGCCTTCCCTCTATCCTATAAACTCAAAATTAGTGAAGGTTTTGAGAAGATAGCTCTTGCGTAATTTTGCGCGAAAATTCTGAAATGTATGATCTCTTCTTCCACGGCCATCATTGAAACAACGTAAAAGTTTTGTAATGAAATCTAATACTTTAACATTATGTAACAAAGTTCTATAGAATATCTTATCGTATTTAAGGTACACGAGTTAAACTGATCCACAGAAGTTAGTGAATCTCCGGTCAGCTGATTACCATATTATTTTACTCTAATGTTAGCATTTATTCTACAACTTGTCGATAGATAACGCTAACTAAAGAAATTTGGTATTTTTTTGAGAACAAAGCGTCTTATTCTTTCAACCCAAACTATTATATATAGAAATACTAAGATTGCAAAAGAATAAAAGGAGAAAGATTCATAATATAAGGTGATTCAGTACAGAATCAATTCAGAAGAAGACT